TTTAATTATCTTTTAATTTATGCATTGTTTTTTATGTAAGAATGTTTCCCCGTGTAAATGAATGTTTGTATGAATGAATATTATATTTTATTGTTATCACTTATTGTATAGTAATATCATTTTAGCTGAATTTACTCTTTTATACAATTTTTACACATCTTTAAAATTTTAACATTTAAATTTATTATTCAGACATAAAGAATAAATGGTCAATAATCTGGTTCCTGGATTTTTCCATCGACATTTTCAGGAAACATGCAAAATCCTCTTTTTTTGTTTCTATAAAAACATATCATAAAAGCTGTTTCATTAAAGAAAACGCCTAAACTAAAAAGAGTATCGATACACTTAAGGATCTTAATCCCTAAAAATTTAAGATCTCGATAAATACAAACATCTAAAATGGATGAGTGCAATAAAGGATCTTTCATTTTTAGAAATGACAATTCCGTAAAAGTGTGCGAGTTAAGCCTTGCAATAAAAATTACAATTAGACAAAACAGCAACACGACCAACTCCACACATAACGTAAATATTTGTTTGTCAAATGTTTTATTGCACCTCCACCTCAGCGTGTACCTGGTCCACGTGTATCCTAAGGGTTTTTAATACTCAATTTCTGTGTTTAGGGCGTGATTTTTATGTTTTTTTTAACAACTCAGAAACCTTAATTATCTTCTTTTTCAAAAATTTTCCCTCCACCTTGAACTTTTTTTGCAAGTTTTCTGGAGAGTGAGAATGAACGACGCGGTTACTCGGAGCGTCGTCCACTTTCTTTTAATCAGTCTCTTTTTCGGTCCCTGTTCGCGAAAATCGGAATTGGTTCACTTCCTGAACCAACAATTCCTTGAGGTTCGACCTTAGGATTTTGAACGAGTCTTGGACTGAAAACGCACTCTCTTATTAGTGTATAATTCCTATTAGTTAAAGGTTCGGCTTTAAGATATGTAGCATGTCCAAGTCTCAAGCGATTTCATGTAACCGTCCCGTGTAGAAATTTGTCGTGGCCTTCCTAGTGATAGACTATTGCTTGACAGTTTTTGTCGTGGAAAATGATTCTCAAATATCTGTCCTGGCCCACGAAAATTAATGTACAGGTTTTATACAGTTTTCCATGTGTTGTCTTTGATACGAAAACTGTCTAGAATTTACCATGAAACTGTCTAGGATACCAACATACAAAATTAGTACAAGTTCATCGTGTAGGTGTCACTAAATTCGGTACAGTGACTACCTAGCAGACGGAGTCAGTCATTGACGCGTGTGTGTTTTTGTTAACACATTTATGTTTTTTGAAAAAAAGAAAATTTAATTATAATTACGAAAAATTATCAGTTTTCATTCCATAGTACGAGGACAGTATAAGTGATAAAACGTAAGTATAAAGAATCTTTTGTTCACCAATTTCTTACATATCAAATAATTTTGAAAAAGTTGCTTATTAGATAATTTTTTTTATAATAATTTTTTACTGTTACTAAATAATAAATAATAAAATAGAGAAAATTGATTTACATGATTAAATTAAAATTTATTAATGATTAAAAATTTATGCATTTACTTAGGTTGTCAAATTAAACTGGTAGAAAATGAATGAGACTAAAAAAAAAGAAAACAAGAACAAACTCGAGCTAGAGTAGAAAAGTTTAGAGCCATTAAAAACATCAGTAAGTATGCATATACATAACGTATAAATTTTTTTAATTTATTTTATATTGTTTATAAGAAAAGTAAATTCTTTAATCTTATCTTAAGCGACGTTCAATTCCAAACATAACCTCAAACTAAAAACGTATTTATACAGAACAGAAAACAATAATAAGAATGATTTTTAATGTTTTAACAAAATCAGTAACGTAATTATAAAAAGCAATTATTATTATTATTTATTTAAAAATATTAAATGAAAAATGTGAATTTTTTGTTATGTTTAATATTATATAAACTGCAACTAATAGAACTTTGTCGAATCTTCCAATTTGCTTTCAATATAAATAAAATCAGTTAATATTTATTAAAACTAAATGAAATATAAAACTGTTTACAAAATTGGAGAAAAACTTACACAATTTAGAATGATTATTATTATGAAAATTATCTTAATTAGAGATTATTGTTTCTTCCAATATAAAAGCATTTAAATAGTGTTTGAGGTTATGTTTCCGTGTTGAATCTTAATATACAAAAATCCTTTTGAATGATCAAAATCAGTTTTGAATATTAAATATACATTTTGTAAATTAACTTGATTTTTAGTACTCTAAAAGTTTTTTTTAGCTAAATAATTGTCCATTTAAAGTAAAAAAAAAGTTAAAAATGTTTAGTGTTCATCAGACACTATTAAAAAACTTTTTGTCGTTATTTTTTTAAGTACTAATTTATATGTAAATACTTCAAGACCAAATTTAAATATTATTTTTTTTTAAGAGCGACAGAAAATTTTGTCCAGGCCTGAGCCACAGCTGTCCGAACAAACAGATGATGAAAATCCATTAACAGATTGTAATACCGAAACATATACCAGCGAAGATGTAGAATCTGATGCGGAAATCACTTTTCGAAACTCAGAAGAATCTCACGATGCGTGTAATGAGTACGAAAATCCGGATGTGCTCCATGTTCTTGATTGTGACAATTTTATCGTTTCTGACGATTCATCTGATGTTCCTAATTCATCTGATAATGATGAATCATCTGATGATGATGAAAAACGGAATGAGGAAATAAATGAAATCAGAAATTGGGCCGTTGATTTCTCAGTTCCTCAAAATCAATTAGATTATTTGCTACGTATTTTAAGACGCAAACTACTGCCCGATTTACCTAAAAGTTCTAAAACATTTCTTGAGACAAACAAAGCAAAATATACAATTGAGGAAGTTAATGATATTCAAAACGGCAAAGGAGAGTTCGTGTATTTTGGTATTCAAGAAGGTTTAGAAGCATGTTTTAATAATAACATACATGTTGGAGATATTATTGAATTAATAGTAAACTTTGATGGAATGCCACTAAGTAAGTCAGGACACAGTGAGTTTTGGCCTATTTTGATGAAAATACATTTTATTCCTGATTTTTATAAACCGTTCACTGTAGGTATATTTAGTGGAACTTCAAAACCAGTGATTGAAGAATATTTGACAAAATTTGTAATGGATTTAAGCAAACATTTAACAGATGGGATTAAACTTTTAGGAAAAAAATACAAAATTATATTAAAAGCTATAGTTTGTGACACACCAGCTCGCGCGTTTATAAAATGCACTCAAGGGCAAAATGGCAAACATGCATGTAAACGATGTACAACGGAAGGAATAACGAAAGAGTTGCAAAATGGTAAGATGGTAAACTTGGGAAAAACAGTGTATCCGGAATCAAAGTGTAAAAATCGAACTGATGAATCTTTCAGAAATATGAAAGATAAAATTCATCATAATAGTATTTCGCCATTAACTCGAATAACTCCAAAAATAGATATGATTTCGACATTTGTATTAGATCCCATGCATTTAATATTTCTTGGAGTCATGAAAAAATTGCTTGACTTTTGGTTGGATGGCAATCTAAGCGCAAAATTAAAACCTTCAATGAGAACCGAGCTTGGAAGAAGAATGGAATATATTACAAAACAAATTTGTTCGGAATTTCAACGGCAGCCGAGATCAACACAATATTATCGCAAATGGAAGGCCACAGAATTCAGATTTTTCCTGCTGTATTGTGGACCTGTTGTTCTGCAAGGTTTATTAGATGAAAAATACTACCATCATTTTTTACTTTTTCATACTGCTTGTCGAATTTTACACTCCGAAGAATTATGTATGAAATACAGAATCCATGCAAAAAAATATTTAAGAAAATTTTTTATTGCTTTGAAATACTTCTATGGAACAAAATCGCAAACTATAAATGCACATAATTTGATTCATGTGGCCGATGACCTTAATAAAATGCAATGCAGTTTAAGTCATATAACATCATTTCCATTTGAAAACCTCCTCGGAAAAATCAAAAGACGCTTGTTGCGGACCCCATACCGACCATTGGCACAAGTGTGTCGACGTTTGCATGAAGAAAATCTAAGAAATAAATGTAAAACAACAGTTTTGCCAGCAACTTTCGAAGTTTTGAAAACTGATCAAGAAGAAATTAAAGAAATTAAGTACAAAGGAAATACATTTTCTGTCCGTTCGCCAAATAATGTGGTTCTTTTGAAAAATAAAACAATTTTTTAAATTGAGAAAATTGAGAATTCGAATAGCGATGAAGATATCCAATTAACTGGAAAAGTATGGAAAATAAATGAGAGTTTATACCAATATCCTTCTGATTCGGCTAGACTATTCATTTTTGAACTTCGACGTTGCCCATCGCGAGAAACTCGAAATTTTCTATTATCATCAATAACAAAAAAAATGGTTATGTTCAAAATGAATCGAACAAACAATAAACCTGAAAAAATTTATGTAATGCCCTTGTTGCACGTTTAATTATTTGGTTTAACCTCTTGTCGAAATAAATAAGTTTGTAATGTTTTGTAAATTATGAATAAAATTAATTAAATATTGTATAAATTGTTTCTTAAAATAAAAAATTACAACAAACTGAATGTCATCTCAGACATTTTTAGCAAGTAATATTTTTTATAAGAAAAGATTTTTATGACTACATTTTACAAAATTTTTATTTAAAAAATCTGAAAAAATTGAAGTTTCAAAGAAATTGATTAAAATTGACGTGAAATAAACAATTTGTCAAAAAACTGAAATAAAAATTATTACAATAATGTAATTAAATTAACTTGATTAATTTAAAAAAAATTTGAATATTAGATTAACAGTGGCGCAACTAATTTAAAAACTTAAAAAAATATTCACTACTATTCACAAAATTGATAAGTAAAAAATGTTATCAAAGGGGACTGTTTTATGCTTTTTTAAATTACTAATTAAAATTAAGAATTGTTTCGATTTGAAATGGTAATATTATTTTTCTTTTTAAAAAAGTTAAATTACATTAATTTAAATAAGTGCGCGCTTTTTTGACTCTTATTTTGGGTATCAGGTTGGTAGCAATGTTGGTAGCAGTTGTATTATAGTAAACGACAGGGCACAGGTTCAGATTGTTACAAGCAAAGACAAAGTCAGTGGATGATTATGTTATTGAAAAATCAATGATAAAAGTTCTTGTTAAAAATTATAATTAAAGTGCATAATTAAACTGAAGTATCCATTACGCGACTGTGCAATCAGGTAATATGTTATTATATATAATATTTATGGTTTTCTTTTGGTGCCACCGATTATAAAAGTTAAGCAATGCACACGTTCAGAAAACTTTTTTGTGTTTAACCCAGTCATTTTACGAACCATATTGTCTGTGATTTTGTGTTTCAATATTTTATGAGGCATTTACTATAAGGCATATTCAAATGTTTAAAAATTTTCGTATAAAAGAATATTTCTGAAAAAATAAGTTCCGATCGCAAACATAACCTTAAATTAACAAGTGGTTATCTTAGATACTGGGTATTAACTAAATTTTGATTTTACGTTTGATTTTATTAATAGAATGACTTCTCAATTGCTAAAAAAAGAGAGAAAATATACTCTCATAAAGTTTGTTTACGAGGATGAGCAAAGTAAAAATGAAAAATCAGAAATAGAAACAGTTCCTAACACTTGGATTGGTTTCGATTTAACAAGGCACCAATTGATCTCAAAATTCATGCCGCCGCCATACACTTCAAAAAGATTAAAAGTGCTGCGAGAAATTGTTAAACAATGTAAGGAACCAATTAGTGATTGGCCTAGTTATGATATTGACATAAGAGGATATGCAAGTAAGTTTACTTTTTCTTTTGTAATTGTTTTAATGTTTAAAAGAAAACTTACGCTTAATATAAATCAAACAATTACCCATTTCAATTTCACATTTTTAAATAAATTCAACTTTTGAAAAATCGTTATATTGAATTCTGTTAGTTTTTACCCTCCAAATTGTGATTTTAAGCAAAAAATTTAATTATATTAAAATCTGTCATTGTTTTTAAATTATAGGCTATAATTTATTTCTTTTTTATCTTTGCTAATTATACTTTCTAAAAAGTAAAGTTAGTTTTAACTATAAATAAAATTCTTAAAACATTTAGAAAGCTATGAGGAAGCTGAAGTTCAAATCCGAAAACTGACTGTACAACCTTACTGTTTCACAACTGATGAAAATGAAACGCCAAGTGCAATTTCGGAACGAATAAAAAAAATGCATGAAAGTCAGAAATCAGAAACACTTCCAAAAAAAGATGCCGAAGATCTATTAAAAATATCTTCATTAGATGAAGAAGTGAGTGACGATGAATCGAATTCCTGCAATCAATCAAAAACTTCGGAAGGTGGTCAATTTTCGGAACAAAGTAGTTTTTCCGGTCAAGATACAGAAGTTGTGAGAGTAGAAAAGGAAATTGCTCAGAAATCACAATCATCAAGACTTGAATTTTTAGATCCACATTCTAAAACAAAATTCTATTCTATGCCATCGGAAGGACAAGAAGATTTGAATCCAGATGCAGCAAAAAAGACGCCATTAGGTAAGAAAAGTTTCCTCATACCTTCAAAGTTGCCAAAATCTAAGATTAATGAAACATAAAATAAGATTTTAAAAATAATTTGAATTTTAAATAACTAAATTTTATATACTTTTCAAATTTTTAAAAATATATTTATTAATTAATTTAATTAATATTTATAGTGACAGCAGCAAAATCTACAGAAAAAAAAACTGAAAAGGTAACTCAAGCAAATTCAACTTCTAATAAGAAGAAAGGAGAAAATAGTGTATCTAAGAATTTAAAGCCATCGAAAAATAATCAACAGTTTGTAAATAATAGTTCTCTGAGTCAAGATTTGGAAATTCTTGATGAACTAAAAAGTTCAAATTTGGATTCAACAAATAAGAAATCATCTGGTGAGACGAATTTTTATATCACATGTAATTAATTATTTCTTATTAATTTATATACGTTAAAATGTTATTTTTAGTGCGGAAATAATAATGTTTTTCAAAGTTAATTTACTTGCATCTCACGGCTTATAAATTCAATTTTAGTAAAATATGTATTTCTAAATAAAAATAGATGAAATTCTTTTCAAAACGTTCTTTTCTTAAAATTTTATTAATTTAAAACTATTATTATTCTTTTATTTTAATTTTTACAGGACAAAGGGCTAAAGGTAATGAAGGTAAAAGCAAACAATCAACCAATTTGATTTCTAAAAACAAAGAAAAGGAAGATATTCCTTTATCATTATTTGAAATACTTATGGACTTTCTTACACGACTAGAATCTGATATAAGGCAGATAAAAAGAGATATCGCTCATTTAAAATCAATGATTGAGGCAATCAATGGAACTAAAAATGTACAAGCAGAGAGTCTCGCCGAGCGCCATGGTTTAGACTTACCGTTAAAAACTGAATCAGACTTTCAAAAACTTGAAAATTGTTTGGAGAGTAATTCCTTTTCTAAGGAATTTGTAAGTTTAAAATTATATAACTTGCATCTTAGTCAACTTCTTTTAAAAACATATAATTTATTCAGAATTACTTCCTTTTTTTTAGAAACAATCACTCTTAATGCTGATAGACCATGACAATGTTCTTTCAAAAACAATAACAAACATTTTACGAAAATACTTATCTAGAGATGTAGCCATGTCATACGTTGCGACGAAAAGAACCGAAGGAAAAAAACTCTTTAAACCCACCATTTTTTGCAAAAAAATGCATGGTAATATAATTATTTATATAAAATTTACTAAAATATATTTAAATAATAAATTATTTTATTATATTAAAATTTCAGATGTGATCGCTTCAAAAATGGAGACGGAAAGAAAGGAGTTCACTGATAGAGCCTTTTATCGAGCATTAGGAGTAGTATTAACAAATTCGAAAGATTGGAAAGGACATAGGCAATTAAGAAAAAAAGTCATTGCTGAACTCGAAATTCCAGTCCTCAACCCGGAAGATTTATTGAACAGAGAACCATAGGACTGAAAGAATATGATTTTCAGTACTTTAAGTTAAAAGTTTATTTAATAAACAACTCAAAAATTTTTTTGTTTGAAAAAGAGGTTTAATTTATTAATAAGTGGAATTAAACCATGCTTCTATTCAATATCTTTAAAGTTAAAGTTCAGTTTAACTAAAAGTGTTTTTTTAAATGAAAACTTAGAAGTGATCTACAATTATCATTTAATCTTTAATTTTTTTCTGTGATAGAAAATGCTTTATTAACAGATAATTTCAAAGATAATATAAAAAATGTTAATCTAATTTGAAATATTAAGAATAATTTAGGCTCTTAATTTAAGTACCGTTCAGACGCTTGGACCGCACTCATTAAAGCCAGTTATCAACAATTTATTAGTTTGTAAGTTAAATATTAATTTAACAAAGCGATATTTTGGAAAATGAGAACTAAAAATGTGATCACACATAATTTCTTATTGTTGTAAGTTAAAAGTATTTTTAAAGAAATTATTATTACTTTTTTGTTTAAAAAAAGTTTATTTAACAAGAAATATTTTTAAAAAATTATCAATAATTCACTAGTTTTTAAGTTAAACGACAGTTAATGAAAAAATTTTATTTATAAATTCTTTGTTTGAAAAAGAAAATTGTAAGAGAAATTATGGTATTAAGAAATACTTATGTAAAATAAATTATGTTAAATAAACAAGAGTAAAATTGAAAAATATTCTTTTTTTATTCACTAACATAAATTATTCTGGTAGGTAGAAACTACTTTTTTTATTATCGTGGAACTGGCTAGAATCACTTTATTTTACTAGACAAGCGCTAGACAGAAGACCTGTACAAAATCTTGACGTTGCTAGCGTTACATCCCACGTTCAAGCCTGTCAAGTTTTCCCATCTAGCCGCTAGATTGAATCTAGCACAACTGGACAGTTTCTCATACACTTCCACGATAAATTTCTACACGGGGTACAATTCCTTAGGATTAAATATTGGTTTAGGATAGAAACTAAACATCCGTTTTGTGAATATACCGTTTTATTTAAAATTAAATATTCATTGACTAAATTTTGAGGTTAACTTCTCGATTTTTTCTTAATTATTTTCAAATTCTTTATAATTATTTATATTTTGCGTAATCGTTAGAAATTTTGGTGACAAACTTTTAGTTTTTTAACCTTTATTTCTATACCGTGACGTAACAATTTAATACAAACTTTCATTAAAAAATATGTCAGACCAAAGAAAATTGTAATCATATTATAAATTTTAAGATTTCAACGAAAAGATAAATCAATGTCGAGTTTAACCGCTTTATAAGCACGAGAGAGATGAGAGCTTTCCTCTTTTTCTCTCTTAGTTTTACGGAAATTTACATTTCGCGTATGAGATTCGCGCGCAATGCATGTCACGTGCGTTACAAGAGCTGGATTTTCGGATTATCTCACATACTCACTAATACGGAAGAGAGAGAGAGAGAGAGAGAATCGCGTGTCTGATGTTATTCGAGTAGACATTAGGATAGAAAATGAGGTGCACTGACTAAGTAAACAGCCGTTTCTACAAAGGGATATGGACCCTACTTTAACTATATCTTTATAAATATATATGTGTATAGATATACGGATACTGCTTATGAGTAGGATGCAAGTGCTTTAACATGAAAAATTTCACCCTATGAATATGAGCTCACGCTGCATTTTACCATCTGTCCAGGTATGATAACAAAATTACAGTGATTGCGAAATTCCAGAGAGCACTCTATCGACTTTTTTTTCACCGGAAGTCTATCTAATCTAGAATCTCTTCTTTCTATTTCCTCCGTAGCCTTTGGAACTGAATCCTCTCTACTACATATATAAATATAAAACTGCGCAAATAAAGTCAGAAGGTACACCGAAAAAAAGTATGTTCTTTAAATTAGGAGGCAAAATTCTCGCAACATTTTTATAATTTAAAAGAAAAATATTCCCTTTGTCATTTTTAGAAGAATTTCTCATTTATATTTATCAGGTAAATTTCTTTTCAACTACTACTACATATTCTCTAATGAGACACAAAGAATATAGCAATGTTGAAACATTGTTATATACTCACGATAATTCACCAAAAAAATGGTTCATTTGAAAAAAGAGTTAAACTTTTTTAATTAATTCTCTCTGAAACTACAATGAGGAAAATTTGAAACGACTATTTAAAATACGTAAATTAGGATAATTCAACTATATATGCACGAACCTTATCATAAGATATTACTCCAGGAGAGGGTAAAATTATTGTTGGCGGTATAAAATGGTGTCGTGAATAGGAGGCTTTAGAAGGAGGTTAAATGTGAAAATCCAAGTACTCCTCAGAACGGATTTTCACTAGGCTTTCGATAGGGGAGATTAATGGTGTTCGATAAAAAAAGAAAGAAAAAAAAGAAGCGTTTCACACTCCTTTCCAAGACGGTTGCAATATTTTTCTCAGGCGACGCAAAAGTATATTATATATATATATATTGAGGTGCAATGGTTGCTAAGGGATTAGGAAAAGAAAATTGTAAAACGGAAGTAAGAAGCGAAACAAGAGCGATACGGGAGTGAATTTGCGTGTTGTGGCAAGGTATATATCCATAAATCATAACCCAACAGAAAACTTCAATTCACACTTCACGTATATAAACAACTTTGAAAATATAGTAAAAACTTTTCCACTATATATAAATTAAATTTTCACAAAAGTAATTCACTTGTTATTTTTCTAAAATCTAAAGTAAAGTGTGCATAAAAAAAACTTCTATAACCCATTAACGCCTGAAAAGAATTACATAGAATTTTAAATAAAGAAAACTGCCATACGCAAAAGCACACTGGGTATATCTAGCACCAACAAAATTTGGGAATGGTTTTGTTTTAAAAGGGTTAAATTCAAAAGGATTGTAAAGATTATAATGATGAGCCAAAAAATTTTGAACGTTCAAATGAACGAAATTTTTTTTGCAGCTTCTTTAAGTACGAATTTTATTACAAAATTTTGTTTCAAATATCTAAAAAGAAATTATTAATTTAATAATTGTTTAATTTACTGTTTTATTTTACATTGACATTATAATTTTAAATAATTTATAGATTGAAAAAAATATTTCGTCCATTTGAACGTTCAGAACTTTTGGCTCATTATAATGCTCTAAAATACACAAAAATCTTTTCTGAAGGTATATATATATAAAAAATAATGAACAATTTTTTTTTTAAACGATTAAAGGAACTAAAATTGTGCAAATTAATCGCATTACGTCCTTTGGAATAAGTAGTATGACAAGTAAAAATAATTCAAATGAGAGGAGAAAATTGTTGAAAACTCGTTTAAATTGAAACCTTGAACCTTTGGTATAAAGAATAATATCTGAAACTGGAACTTGAAGATAAAACTTGGAAGAAATTGGATGTTTTAGAAAAATGAACTTGGAACTTCAAAATAGTTGAAAGAACTTGTAATTGGAAAAAATGGTTAAGTGAATAGAACTAAACTAGAAGAATCTTGAATTTTGAAAATAGTAGAAAGAACTGAGAGAACTTAAAAACTATACTGACTGCTTCATTAGATTCTTTAGTTTTTATATTGCTATCCCTTCTTAAATTTTTAAGACGCGTGCAAATTTGGGGATGAATATTTTTTTAGAGTGGCAGGTTAGAAAAGATCAATGATTGGATTTTATTGTAAGACTAAATAAGAAAACTTATATGTAGAGAAACATGACATTGGGTCCTTCAGGCCTAGCCTTTGCAAGGGATTTGTGAATTTCAAAGTGCAACCTGCAAGTGTTTACCACTTAAGGTTTAGTATTTCATTAATGGTTCTAAAAGGAAGTAGATTATCGAAAAAAAATATATATATATGTATGTGTCGGCAAAAATGTACATATATAACAACTAATTAACTATAATAAACTTAAACTAAAAAATAAAGTCAGATTTTTCTGTAAGTTTAATTTTTACGAATATAACATCCGTAGAGAACTTTGGTTTTAGTATGGATGTCAAACACCCAGGCTGCTCTTTGATGGTTAAATATTTTTACAAACCTCTAGAAGCCGTAAATTAAAATTTAATATTATTTCTGAAGTATTTAAATATTTTTAAAACTGACATTCATTCAAATATGCAAAATAATACTTTCTCATCTAGGTATAAGAATAAAAAAATTTTTATTTGCTAACAAATTTAAAATGAACATCCACGAATATTTTGTTTCTTTCATCTTCCACTATATATACTTGTCGAGTTCAAAGAATATAGTAAAGTGATAAAAAAAATAAATAACTAGACAAATCGAAAATGTTAAAAACAGTTTGAAAATATAATCGCTTTTGAAATACATGAAGGCAATATAAACGCAAATGTGTGTTTTACGGTGTTAGAAAGAGGAAATGAAGAGACAGAGAGACAAGGGACACATACACACAAAAAAAAAGATACAGACGAAAACGGCTAAATAGAGTTTCCAAAGGACTCGAAAATGAGAAAATCGATGCAAGACGGGCGTCGCGACGTGAAAATCGTATAAAACTTTAGTACACTCAAGAACCAGGTCTTGTTGCAAAAAAATGCGTTAAAACTCTAGAAGAGACTTGTAGCCGTTTATTCAGAACTCAAAAAGAAGAAGTTCATATAAACGAGGTCACATATACATTATTTTTATTCCAAAAAATATATTTAAATGTCAAAAAATAATTTTTTTATTACGATAAAAATATTATTGCGTATTTTATATATTTGATAATAATAGACATGTTTATCCAAAATTTAAATTACAACTAAGATTCAATAATTGAGCAACTTGATATTGTAGCTTATACGTATATTGAAGACACTTCTATATTTTAGGGGAGAAAAAAAAACAATATATTTATCGGAGAACTGAGCCTGCAAAAGACTCGTCAACGGAGTGTTTTCTTTTTATACAAAGGCGGTGAAACAAAAGCTTTTACAGATTTTAGTTGAAACAAGCTCAGAGAAAAGGAGGCCAAGCGAAGGCACATGAGAAAAAAAGCTCATTCTACAGCAGAATTTTGCTATCAGTAATGGCCTCTATATGCGATTTTAATATTTCAAGTTTCAGTTTCAATTTATTATCTATGAAAATGGATCACGCGCGCGTACATTACACTTTTATCATTACTCTTTTACATTGAAAAAAGGAAATTTCCAATTTAAATTATACATTTTTTTTATTATCGCTCGCTTTTAATATAAAATTTAAAAAAATTATACATATTTCTTTAAAAATTTCTTGAAAGATAGAAATTCTAAAAATAAATACTTTTAATTTTTAAATATAAATTAGTTACAAATAACTAATTTTATTGCAAAAAGTCAGTTACTGATTCAAATATGTAGTACTATTTCTACTAATCATTTTTTCTTAAAATAACTAATTATAAGTTAAATTTACTCTGAGATTATATTAAAAATTAAAATAATTAAAATAACAATAACAGCTACAATATAATATAATAAAAATAACTATTGATGTATTTATAATAAAATTTCTACTTCTAATATATAAATAAAATAAATTATAAAGTTCATAAATAAAAAATATTCTTCTGATTGATTTTATAAAATCGCTTTACGATAGGTAAACTGTTTCATTGTCAAGAGTCTTATTTTTCTCACACTGAAGCAAAAGTTT